AGCATACAAAAAATATACTAAGGCCTAGACACTTAAGCTTCGAATAAAAGTGCCCTAGTAAAATACATTACAAAACATTCGAAGAGTTCAAAATACATTTCGACTAATTACAACAATTCGACCCTTACAATGACAACTATACCCCGCCCTTGAAACCAATGAGGTAGAGATACCTGCTCAGTTTGGCCCGCCCCCTGTACCAGCTTCAGTTAAGACTGAACATTTCGGTCCAACTGAGACTATTGAGGTGAGCGATACTAATGCCTCTACTTCATGTGTAGGTAAAGTAGTGGAAGATGAGAACAAGGAGAATAGAAACAATTCTGTTAATTTTGTTGATTGTCAAACAAATGTCTCTTTGAACTCTTAATCTGTTGCTTCTAATTCAGTTACTTTGAATAAACTTGTTGTTGGTAAATACAGGCCACCAAAACAAGTGAAACAGACTGTTCGTTGTAAGTGTGCCTATGGGAACAATCAGAGACAAGGCATAGGCACGTTAACCGGGACAGGCAGAAACAACTTCTACGTGGAGAAACAGACATGTTTCCATTGTGGAACACCTGGACACATTTCTAGAAATTTTCCAAATCATGCATATGTTCCCTACTATGCACAAGGTTGGCAGAACGTGCCAAGAGGGAGATCCTCCAAAGGAAACCCTTCGAGGTCACATTCAAACAATGGTGGCTGGAACGCCAAAAAGGCCAATAATCAAACTTCCAATGACAAGAAGGGAATGTCGGACAAGGAGCCAAATTCAAGAGATGGTTCAGTTAAACGAAGATCAGTTAGTTCAAAGTCATCCCAATGATCGGTTTCAAGTTTTAAAGCAAGTGTTGAGGCATCCATCCGATCAAACAAGAAATAGGTTAAACCCGACTACAGATGGGTACCAAAGCTTCATACTCCCAAATCATCTAATGATTCTAACATTTCTTCATCTTCTGTGTCTGATAAACATGATACGTCATGGGAGAGAGTACCTTGTGTAGATGATAATGGTCAACCTAGCTTCAAAATGGACTGGGTTCCAAAGACCAACTAATCTCGCGCTATGTGATGGAGCAGCTATGGAGGAATATCATCAGACTTCGGTTTGTTGATAGTGGCTGTTCCAAGCACGTGATAGGGGAAATCTCTCAACTGTACAACATTCAGAACTTAAATTGAGGGTATGTGTCCTTTGCGGGAAATGAAGAAAGAAGAGGATCACAAATGGGGATTGTACTTAACGGTGTGAATAATTTTTGAACTTGTTCCCAAAATTGAAACATAGCTAAGGTTGAATATGTTGTTGCATCTACGTGCTATTCTCAGATCATCTGGATGCAACTTAGATTGCTGAATTACGGTTTGAGTTTTCTTTTCGATACTTCTAAGTTTTTCATAAAATGATTCGTTTTGAAGACAATGTTTTTTAATTTGCGCATTTATTTTATTTTCTTTCGTCCCCATGCCCAAATGAAGGGGGAGAAATCAAAATACAAAAAAATTATAAAATTAAAAATACAAAAATATGTTTTCTTTCGTAAGTATTTTTGGGAAGTGATATGAAATTTAGTGCTAAAGGGAAATATGAGATGCGTGTAATGCACTGAAGCTGAATTGTTTAGACTCTGTGTTCAATGTGCTGGTAGGCACGAAGGATTCCAAATTAACGGACTAGACACAGCTGACAATGAAAGGACTAGACAATGTTAACTCATCTTGACTTAGATAGTTACATTTGGACTGACTACACGACGCTTGGATAGATTGAGTAGTGAGATAAACAAGGGAGCCTATGAGATACATTAAAGTTACTTATCATCTAGAACTGTGGCTCAACATTTCTTCGACGTACGGACTTATGTCCTTAATTAGGTGTTGATAGGGTGATTGGGGGTTCTGATAAAGTAGGTCTGTGTGAAATTGTTTTTCTTTTTTATCCTCTCTGTCAGTCATATGTTTCCCCCTTCGCGTGATTGGAAGATCCGACCTGGGACGTAACATATGCACTCTATTTCTATGCATTTCTGCTATGCTTCTCTCTATCTATCTATGTCAGTCATATGTTGTCCCATCTGCGTGATCGGAAGATCCGACCTGGGACACAGCATATGCAACTTTCTATCTCTCTATCCCTCTATCTATGTTAGTCATATGTTGTTCCCTCTGCGTGATTGGAAGACATCCGACCTGGGATACAACATATGCATCTCTATATCTATCTTCTATCTCAAATAATTGTGCACTCACCTAAAGTGAAGAGCTCTTTGGAATTCCTTGATTGCTAGGGTATGTCGTGAAATGGGGAACACATTCTAGTAAACTTAAAATTGAACTAACCAAAGGTTGACTGTAGATCTCGCTGCTGAATTTAAGTGGACAACAATATCCTTGGTCGTCGTCAGCAAAATGGTTTATTTAGGAATAAGATCACAATGACTTGTCACTTATAATCTGTCCAACTTTTCAATATCCTTTGTGTTTAAGTGGACCACAATATTGGTAATTGACCAGAGCTAAACATACAGGTGTGTGCTGATAAACGATATTGAATTACATGACAACTTTGATCCCAAAAATGTTTTAAATTTAGTTATTATTTTTTTTGTTTTTGTTAAATTTGTTCATATTTTTCCTCTATGCACAAATTTAGGGGGGGGTCGGGGGGGGGGGGGGTATTAAAAAAAATCAAACAAAAAAATTCATAAAATTTAAAATTTTAAAAATCCAAAATTATGTTTATTTCTGTTTTATTTCCTTTTCAGAAAATTAAAAATCCAAAAATATTTTATTTTTACTTTTGAGTGTATTTTATTTTTAATTTTATTTCTTAGTTATTTCTATTGTGTGCTAAGTTTATTTTTTTTATCTCAAAGTTTCGTTTGTCTTAAAAAAGAGAATTAAAAAAGAAGAAGAGACTCAAGGAGACTGTATCGGAATTTTCTGAGCAAGCAGAAGAAACTTGGAAAGAAGTTGATGGTCATTACACTTCACTCTATTTTCACAAGGAATTGAAGGATTGAAACTGTACAAATTGTCAGTTAGGCAGTATCTTTTAAAGAATTGTCGTATTTAAGGAATTAAAAGTCTGAAACTATACATATGTCATGGCACCAGGGCGATGCACCTCGCAAGGCACAATTATCGCTGAACGTCTCGCCAAGGGGCCAAGTTAACTTGTTTAACTTTAAAAAAAAAAAAAAAACTGCATTGAGGTCTATGATCTAGGATATGCGGGGGATAACATCAAAATAGCCATGAGTAGTTCTCCGATACTTAACAAATCGCAGTGCGTTCCTCCGTGTTCACACAGATACAGCGAGTAGTCTCCTTCTGAGGCAAAGTTGGGTCCTTGAACAACTGTGGTGAGAAGGGTCTTTATGATTCTGTGATCCACAGGGACTTTTTAGTCATTTGTTACTTTTCAAGGCGCAACGGTGATCATTAAAGAACTTTGTTTCGAAGGAACAAAAAGTGAATATTATTTTTCAACATTCATTCTTTCAACCCCAGAAGCAATGTGAAGTTGTACTTGAAGTTATGTGACAGATTGCATTGAAGCCTCCTCAATCAATTTGCTGCTATCTATGAACCTGCTGAAGTGATCCAGAAGAATCGGTATCTCTGTTATTTTCTCTGAAGTATTTCAAAGCTGCAAGTGCTGATTTTCAAGAACCTTTACAAGAAGCCTCTACACCCAATGTGCGTTCAAAGTCAAATTTTTTAGAAGCAAGTCCAACTACTAAAGATGAAGTTATTCATGAAGAAAATTCATACGTTCATCTTGAAGTTGTGAAGAAATCGAATATTAGAGCTGAAAGCCAAAGATCAAGGAAGACTGAAAAGAAAAGAAAGCAATAAACCAAGGGGGAGATTGTTAGTACTAAATTATGGTTTATTCTTTGAGAAAAGAAAGCTATAAACCAAGGGGGAGATTGTTAGGTCATAAATTATGGTTTATACTTTGCTTTTCATAAGATATTAGAGTTCTTGGTCTAGGACCGAAAACACCATGTTTTGGTGTTGTTTGGACCGAAATCACATGTGATTTCGGTTAGGCTTTATATTGTTTTGTTTGGGTTTTGTGCTTGGGCTTGGTTATTAGGTATAGGTATAAATAGTGTCATTTGAGCCTTGTAAAGAGAGGGGGACGTTTTGGGGGCTGCCATAAGCCAAGAACAATATCTAGAGTGAAATAGAGAGAAAACCGTGTGTAATCGGAATCTTGTGTACCGGACGATTAATCAATATATCGTGTGCATTGAAGATTCATTTTTTACAATAAGTTGAAAATGTGACAAAAGTATGAGTATCACGTTCTCCAAACTTCAAAAATCTTTGGGATCAACTATGCGATACTGGCCCTTTTTCAGCTTGATCACCGCCGACGCGGTAACCTCATCAATAACCCAGAATTGCATTGAGTCCAAAGTGCCTTCTGGTAAACCGTAAACGTCTGGGAAGCGGAATCTTTTTAGCCTGCTTTGTGGGCGGCCAAATAACATTCACCATGGTTTTATTAGTGTGAGGATCAATGACATCCTTAGCCTTTTTCGTGAACGATGAAGCAGTCTTCATGCCTTTAAATTTATTTTTAGCTTGATCCTCAAGATACCTCTTAAAATCCCAGGCCGCGGATTCATTGGTTGGATTTTTGAAAGGAGCGTGAATAAGTTCAGCAAGATCAACTTTTTTCCAGGACATAAAGTCAGCTGCCTTCTCATAATACTCAATTCGACTGCTCTTTCACTTCAATATCCACATTTTCTTGTCAGCATCATATCCCCACATCAAAATGCCAGAGCGATCTCCATACTTGTCAGTAAATTTCTTCCCAGTTTCCCTTAAAAACATTTTAGGGTGATCACCTGGAACATTCTGATCCGAATGCTTCATCACCAACATCTTCCCTTTCATCTGCTCAATTCGAGCTTGCTTCTCTCTTCTTTCTTGAGCAGAAGAAGGACCAGAAGATAAAAATGTGTTAATATTTGCATTCGGAGCAGGTCTTACAACTCTTTCACTGCCTGTTGAGAAGGTGCATTGACTGGATCAGAACTAGAAGCAGAAATCTTTTCGCCTTCAGCGCTTAAAGGTTGAAAATCATCACCAAACTTCTGATGTAAGCGTTGTTTCAGGTCAAAGAATAAAGCAGTTATACCACCAAGATTTGCTTGAAGTTCAGAAATCTTCGCATCTTTAACAGAGTTTTCATGTTCAAGGTTAGAAACTCTCACATCCAGACTACCAATCAGTAAGTCCTTCTCAATGGACTCCTGCTTCAAAAACATAATCTCTTGTTTGAGCTCAGAGATGGTTTGATGGGAGTCTTCATCACCTCCTTGCCTAGAGCCAATAGATATTCCTTTTCCTTTGGATTGAGAAATGGAATCTTGAAAAGCAAGTAACTTGGCTAATTTGACAGATGAAGCATTGTGCTCTGGAGGTGGTGGGGCAGAAGAGCTTCCTGAAGCAAATGTTTCCTCATTATCCATTTGACTTTGAACAGTTTCTTGGACCGGGGCTGGTTTAATGATTGGGCATTGAACATCTTGAATAACTTGAGCTGGCTTAATAATCATACTTTGAACATCATGAGTAACTTCAGCAGGCTCAACAATCTGAGAAGGCTGTTGTACTGGTTCAGCAGAAAGCACTCTCGGCCTTGGATCTCCACATTTTCGCTTTCGTGGCAGTAAGGAGGATTTTGAATTGTCTTTATCACTCCCAGATGGAGACTCAGAAGTAACAGAAACTGCTTGGGGAGGCTTCCTTGCAGTTGACTGTAATTTGTCAATAAGATCTTCCATCTGTTCGGGCGTAGGATCGTTTTGTTGCTTAAAAATGTTGATTTCCTTTTCTGTCTCAGCTGGAGAAATCACAACTACATTGACTGGTTCTTTTTTCGGTACAAACATACGAAAATCCATACCATCGTTATCACTATCACTCTCATCATCATCATCATCATCATCATCATCATCATCATCATCATCATCATCATCATCATCATTATCATCATCATCATCATCATCATCATCATCATCATCATCAGAAACTTCAAATGAAGAACTGAGATTTGATCTTGATGGCACCGCATGTTCTTCGGCCACCACAGCAGTTTGAGCACTTGAAGTTTGAACACCTTCTGTCTCTGCAAATTTTCCAAATTTCACCAGCTCCTTTAATCCTTGATAGACGACTTTTATAGATTGTCTTGATTTCTTCCTCCCCTGTAGATTTCTTTTCATTTCTTCAACGACAAACTTTGAAAAGTTGTAATCCCAGTTCATTGTTAGAGCAACAATAACTGAGGTCGCAGTCTAAGTAATCTCATCAAATCCTCCCTTCCTTCCAGAAATACAACTTACAAAATAATGCGCTAGCAACCTCCAATAAGGTGGCAGCTGCTTCTTGACGGTGGGAGGATAGGTTCCTTCATAGCACATTTTCTCAAGCACCTCCTTCACTTGACTAGCAGGGTACTCAATTGGAAATGCAGAGGCATCACCAAATTCAAGCGCTTGAATAACTTGCTTAGAGACAACTACTTTAGTTCCCTTCACTACTGATTCAATAGTACCAGCTCCATCTGTTCCCTGGTTACTGATAGAGGCATTTTTCCAGAAATCAGCAATCAGGTCCTTGAAGACGACTGGATTAGAACGCAAAGCATGAGAAATTCTGCAATTATTCAAGCCCACAATCATGGATTTGAATTCTCGATGAGCAGCAGGAGGGTCCATAAGATATCCAGCAACATTGTGATTGTCAAAGAACTATAACTGATTTTCCATTTATCTGCACCAAAAGAGTCAAATGAGAATAATAAAAAGTTAATATTAAAAACTATTTTCAAAAAAATATTGTCCAAAAATATTGATTTCGGTCCAAAATTTATGTTTTCGGTCAAAGTCAAGGTTTATGTGTTTTCGGTCAAGATCGTTTCCGGTCAAATTACTTTTGACCAAACGTTTGCGGTCAAGGTCAAGCCTTCCATCGTTTACGGTCAAAGCAAAAAGGGGTTTTCTGTTGGATTCGGATCAAACCGAAAACCCGGAAAAAAACCCGACGATTCATTTGTTGACAGTTTCGCCGAAAACTACCGTCAACACGCCGGAAACCCTTCGAATACCCTGCAAAACTCCACGAAAAAATCATAACAGGTGAAACATCATGCTCGAAATCAATATACCTAGATAAAACAACAGTCAATCGAAAAAAAAATTGATGATATTTAGATGAAGATGAAACGATGAACAGTTTATTCTTACTTAGGGTTTTGAGAGAAAAGGAGAAAGATTTCGATGAATACGGTGGGGATTTGAACAATGAAGCCAAAAACACACAAAAAGAAACCTTTTATACCCAAAATTTTGGGCCCTCGGCCTTTTGGCCCACCAAATTCAATGTCGATGGGCTTAATTTTTAATTTGTTTCGTAAATTAAAAAAAGACAAAATAAAATAGAATAAATGTTAAAAGATACACTCAAAATAAAATTAAAATATTTTTGGATTTTTTAATTTTCTGAAAAGGAAATAAAACAGAAATAAACATATTTTTGGATTTTTAACTTTTATGATTTTTTGTTTGTTTTTTTTTTTTTAATTCTTCCCCTAAATTTGTGCATAGAGGAAAAATATGAACAAATTTAACAAAAAAAACAAAATAATAACTAAAATTTAAAACTTTTTGGGATCAAAGTTATCAAGCAATTCAATATCGTTTATCAGCACACACCTGCATGTTTAACTCTGGTCAATCGCTAGTATTGTGGTCCATTTAAACACAAAGGATATTGACAAATTGGACATATAATAAATGACAAGACATTGTGATTATATTTCTAAATAATATTCCTAAATAGACCATTTTCCTGACGACGACCAATGATATTGTTGTCAACTTAAATTCAGCAGCGAGATCTACAGATAACCTTTAATCATGAACCAATTCAATTTTAAGCTCACTTAGAACATGTTCCCCAAGATCTACAGAAAACCTTTAATCTTTGGCTTTCAGCTCTAATCTTCGATTTCTTCCCAACTTCAAGATGAACGTATGAATTTTCTTCATGAATAACTTCATCTTTGGTGTTGTTTGGACCGAAATGACATGTGATTTCGGTTAGGCTTTATAGTGTTTTGTTTGGGTTTTGGGCTTGGGCTTGGCTATTAGGTCTAGGTATAAATAGTTTCATTTGAGCCTTGTAAAGAGAGTGTAACGTTTTGGGGGTTGTCATAAGCCAAGAACGAGATCTAGAGTGAAATAGAGAGAAAGCTGTGTGTAATCGGAATCTTGTGTACCGGCCGATTAATTAATATATCGTGTGCATTGAAGATTCATTTTTGTGTTCTTATTCATCTTATGTCTTTCATTATACACTTTGATTGGGATTCCGCACCATCAAAGTGAATCCGATTGATACGTAGGAGAATTCGGGACTTACAGTCCCTAGTATATTGGACCATTCCAAGTGATCGTCAGGGTAGGCAGGGTGGCCTACCAACTGGATTTGTCGAGTGAGCACAGCTAGATCCATAGTATTTTCCATGTTTCACGGTTGCGGAAGTGTGTGTTGGACGATGAGGCAGTAGTCCCCTTGGATGATCTTCAGGTCGATGAGTTCCTGAATTATATTGAGAGGCCGGTAACGGTGGTGGAGAGAAAGATGAAGGTCTTACGCAACAAGGAGATACCTTTGGTAAAGGTTCAGTGGCAGCATCAGAAGGGTTCCGAATGGACTTGGGAGCCCGAGTCAGAGATGCAAGAGCATTACCTGGAGTTGTTCACAACAGCGGACTTCGAGGAAGAAGTCTGATTCAAGTTGGGGAAAATTGTAACACTCAGATCAGGTACACATTATTGTGAAGTTAAAAGTTTTTGATTTTGGCCCTTCTCACAATGTGAGGAATGGTTACTCATGTCGTGAGGAGTAATTGGAAATGCGCGTCATTCTGAGTCTCACGACGTGAGCAATCCAATGCTCACGACGTGAGAGTAATCTGAGGGCCAAAAACACTAATTTTCGGTATTTAAAAGAAATGGGGGCTAGGGCTGTTCACCCTCCGCCTCCCTCACACTTTAAGCCCCAGAGAACCCTGATATTTATCACCCTTGAAGTTCTTAACCATTTTAGTGCCATTTCTAGCTTGAAGAACGAGAGAAGAAGACGAAAGGAGTAATCTAGTGGTGGAGTGGAAAAGTAGCAACATTATCATCACCTCTTCTTCCTGTTGGACCTTTGTAAGTATCAAAGATCCAAACTTTATTACGTTGCATGGATAGATCTAGGATGTTGTCCACATTTCTTCATGTTTAGCATGCTTGAGTGAAGTAAATCCATAAAGTCAGCAACTTTATGAATTCTAAGAGTTCCTTAATCATCATATTGTTCAGATCTAGAAGTTGGTGAGGTATGAGAGGCATGCATGAAAGTTGGAAGCATATTTCTTCACTTTTGACCCAGAATAGGTTGGACCACGCATGGTGCAAGCATGGCCATAAAGGAAACATTTTTATGGACTATAGGAGTCCCATTTAACTTCAGGATGAGATAGATTTGAGGACTTAATGGAATAAGGACTTAAAATTGTGACTTTTAGCTTCAGAATGTGCTCACGACATGAGACCTAAGATCTCACGACGTGAGGTTTGAATAATCCCCATTTTTTGTTAGGATCCTTGGAGCTCGCAACGTGAGAATGGGTGCTGACATCGTGATGTCAACTCAGGTGATTTCTTTGACTGAGTTGACTCGGTTGGGTCGAGTCGAGTTGGAATCAGACCAAGTGGACTGTCACGACGTGACCAAGGCTTGGTCACGACGTGAGCATGGATATTTGTCATTAAGGGACGTTGACTTTGACTTTTACCAGGTTTGACCAAGTTTGGCTTAAGGGTATTTTGGGTATGTTGAGCTATAGTTAAGCCTTGGTCTATCTCTGTTGAATAGGTGACCTGTAGAGTCGTTATTCGGAGCAGAGTATTTTTCAACGATTCTCCAGACTGTGAGGTGAGTTTTCCTCACTGTACTTGTGGCTCGAAGTCACCAAGGCTAGCCCAATTGGATTGCTATCCTGTTATACCTTGATTGATCATATGTTGAGTATTGGGTAGATCTATATGATTGTATGATAGCTGCTGATATGCGTAGACCAGTAGATCTGTAGGACTAACTGTGATTTCTGTCTGCATGATTATTTATCTGTTGAATATGTTGTTGTTTGTTATATGTCGATATATTGTGTTGGGTTGAGACTTTAATGCTATATGTGTGAGTCAATAGACCGGGGGTATTCCAGTCCGATAACTGAGTGGACTTGAGGGTATTCCACTCCGATGACTGAATGGGCCCGATGTATATTGGCATTCCAGTCTGATGACTGAATATACTTGTTGTATATTGGCATTCCAGTCCGATGACTAATTGGGCCAAGAGTAATCCAGCCCGATGACTGTGGACCCGTGGGTATTCCAGTCTGATGACTGATTGGACTCAGCATGCTTGTTTATATATGATATGTGTATTGTGTACCCGTACTTTGGGAGAACTCACTAAGCGTTGGCTTAAAATTTTGGTTTTGTTTCAGGTACTTTAAAGGACCGTGGCAAGGCGAAGGCGTGACTATACACATCCTGATTTTTTGTTGTTGTTGATCTTGGGCGACTCTGTTTTTTGAATAATGTTTTGAAAACAATGGCTATGTAAACATTTCTTTTAGTAATTGGGTTGTTTTGAAAAGTTTGAATTCGTTGTAATTTTTGGTGTGTTACATGGGTCATGGTCAATAAGGTCCAATTGTGAGCTCTGTTGAGATTTGCTATACGAACATGGTGGCGTTGTCCACAATGTTGGGTGATACCATCAATGCATTTACCATGAGTACAACAGATCAAGATTGAAGCAACGTGAAGTTGCCCGTTACGACTGACATATTGGCCCCCACGACTAGCTTGGCCCCCACAACAACTGTCATGCATGTTGTTACTTTTGTTGATGTTTTTATGAGTGAGTGTGGGGTCCTTTAGGGTGCAGTGTATCGAGGAGTGGGTTGGGGAGGTACCGCATGTACCTCTTAGATGTCGACTCTGAGAAGACTATATATCGCAAGAAGAAGCCATTTACAGGTTAAGGAACTCGTCTCTTGTCTCTCTCTCTCTCTCTCTATATATATATATATATATATATATATATATATATATACACACACTCTCTCTCTCTCTCTCTCTCTCTCTCTCTCTCTCTCTCTCTCTCTCTCTCTCTCTCTCTCTCTCTTTCCACCTTTCATGTTTTAGCTACTTTTACATCATGTAGTAAGACTTGTATCAAACTGAGTGGAGGGAAAGATAAGTTTTCATGTGTAGTGGGTTAGGAAAGATAGAAGAGAGATGAAAGAGAAAAACTGAGATGGAACTGATGTAACAAGTAGGTTGGGAACAGGGACGTATCACGGAATGTATCAGTGGGTGGGGAAGCATGCAAGATGGCCTAGGGCCCATTTTTATGTTTCTACTTTTATTATTGCAGGGAAAAAATGTTTGAAATTAAGTCGTCGATCGTAATGACAAAAAAGAAAAAACGAGATTGTAGCCAAAATTAGTGGAGAAACAAAGAGATTTTGGCCGATTACTTAGGAATTATCGGCAATTAATCAATTTTTTACTTAAAAAATTATTGTTAAAGGTCTTTTTTGTTAGGGGCCTCAAATCGGTTTGAATAGACCGTAGTTGGGGCTGGATACCCTCCACCCTTAGGATATATGATAGATTATCAATTTATAAGAGTTTGCAGGGTGTGATGACCTCTCTTGGAACGATGAGTTTCTTCCAACAAAAGTTAAGATTGGGGTTTATTGAAGTTTGGCAACAAATAGGATTGTTATATGAATATGAAAATAGTATTATAGTATCCCTTTTGTCAATCCAAATACAAGTTGGAGAACCGTTTTATTTTCAGAAATCAGGGTTGCCAACATTGGCTTGTTGATCTTGAGCAAACACAGTAGCCTTGTTATCTTGAAACATTTCTTCATGGCGATTCGAGAGCTATTGAGAAGTTGCATCTGGTTTTATAATTGTTTGAAGAAGGCGCGTTGAAATCGTGGCCATTTATTACCGTTTTTAGGCCAAGATGAACCTTTTGCCCCTCTATGCTTACTATATGTATCGGTTATTTCACAATCTCCACTGTCACATTTGTCTACTTCTCTTCGCATTATATCCATGAGGTATTCTACTGATATTTTATAATTCATAATCTCGATTGTAACCATTCATAAGTCTCCCAGAGAGGTTCGTCATTAAGTAACAGTTGGCACAATATGTGCTAGAAACAAAACATAGAAATTTTGAAACATATCAATGTGTATGAAATATAAGAGAGACTATGGAAAGCAGCAATACAAGAAACATTGTTAAATTCTTTAACAAATTGTTAAATTCCACATCGAAAACCCATATAAATACATCATGCACGGCGATAAAAAAAAACACCACATTTTGCAGTCAACATATACTTGAAACAAAAGCATGAACCATTAATTAAAAACTAGTAATGTTTTTCATAGTGAAGCCAATACGCAAATATAACTTAAAGCTTCAACAATTAACATAATCACCATCATAATACATATATACACATTGTTGATTTCCATCAAGAATTTCAAGTATTTGTAGAAACCACTGCAGAAACCATGGTATCCATTCCACATGAGTTGTACCCACTGCAGATTTTGTAGTACCCTTCCTCTCCCCAGTTTGCTCCCCATGAATTCTTGATGATCCAGTACGGCTTCTCCTTAAGTCTGCTAGGCGAATAACCAGCTGATCCATACCCAACAAGAAGAACACCATGATCCAATCGCTTCTTTGAACATATATAAGGGCATGATACTTTACCAACATATGTTTGCATCCAAGCTGCATTGATTCCAACTGCAAAGAAGATAATAACACTTTCAGATACTGTTTTATTTACTACAGAAAGAAGAGTTAAAAGGACATGATTAGGGTTTTACTTGAAAGAGGGCCATGTTTGACAAGATTAGCAGCGATTTGGTCTTCATCTGTGCCAATGACGCTAAAGTTAGCTACAGATGCTGCGATTTTGGATTTGTCAAAGTGACAAGTGCCATCTTTTCCTGTGTAGGGGTAATCGGATTCTTTTTGAATTCCACCAGACTTGAGTATGTACTCGTATGCACTGGTCATCAGCCCACCATTGCAACCTGCATTACATGCATTCTTTTCTTCTGGATCACACTGAAAAAGAACAGGAAGAAATATTCTTAGCTAAAGATTACTTGATAACAAAATCAAATAATAGAAGTGGAGGAGATGATATAAATTATAAAGTACAAACCTCATGATCACAATCCACAAGTTGTTGTTCACTGAGGCTAACCAACTCCCCTGTTTGAAGGAAGTGGGATCCTTCTAAAGCTCCGGTTGTACTAAAAGACCAACACGATCCACATGAACCCTAAAATAGGAGGCCACAAAATTAATTGATTGCAATATTATAAACACAAAGTTATTTGATTCGTTACATAAAGATAAGGTATTCGAATAATTTTTATGAACTAATTCTAAGATTCCAAAATTGATCAATTCCTAAGAATACTATTATCTGGTCTGGAGAAGGGTGTATCGATTTTACAATACGTTAATCCATCGATGATGATTTGATCGATTTTTACAAACTAATTAGCTCGTTATTTGTTGCAAAACTCATGCTATTATCAAATTTCATATTCGAAACGTTGTATACACGGCAAGATAAAAAGTCAACCATACTTTTAAAAGTTTTTGTAAAGGTTGCGTAACAACTACAGAGACTAGCACATACCTGATCTTTAACGGCAGTAACAGCGCCATGATCGCGCCAGTCAAAGTCTTCAGGAAGATCGGTTGTCGGAAGAATAGGCGCCTTGTTCGCATCGGCGGGATATTTTAGAGGATTCTTCAAGCCGAGGTATGTCTTACGGAACTCCGACGGGGTCAAATCGGAGAACTTGGTAACGCCGTGCTCAGCAGTGGGATCTAGTTGCTGGTGGCGCTTGGCACGGCGAAGGTTAGACTTGAAGACGGACAGACGGTAATCGTGCTCATCTGCAGTCGCATACGTCTTACCGAACTTGCTCTTGAACAGAGTGAAGTGGTGTTCTGCGTTCAATAGATGATCGGCGGAGGTCTCCTCCTCCGGGACGACTTGCCGGATCAACGGATCCGTAGCAGATTCATCGATGGCAACGGCGACGGTTATGGAGGCGGACAAGAGGAGGAAGAAGAGGGAGAATCGTTCCATGGTGATTGGTGGGGATTAGAGATATTTTGTTTGTGGGGTTTCCTGCTCATCCAGTTATAGATGATCAGTGGGGCGTTGCGCCATTGAGATCTTGACACGTGTCGTTGGATAACAACACTGATCCTAAATAAAAGTCTTCCTTCGAGAAGCAACAGGCGTCGATAGAATAGTGGTCATCGTGAAAGATATTTACACTTCAGCTCTTACATTTAGTTGCAGATGCCATTCAACTACCTCTTGAGTCTTGAGTTATAAGTAGACAAACTAAACATCTTAATGCTTAGTTAGCGAATGCTCGCGCGTTGCGCGAAAGCACCTATATAGTTGATATTTTTACAAATATATGTTTTTTTTTAAATATAACAATAATAAATATAATAATTCGTATACTAAGTTGATATAATATATTGACTATTTTGAATTATATAATAATATATACATCTATTAAAATTGCATAATCTCAATCGTTTAAATGACATCTACCTGCGAGTTAATCATAAATAAAATTAAATATAATATATGGTTTAATGTTATTTATAGTTGTTGTTATCGTTAATTAATTTTAAATTTTTTTTTTTTGATTTTAAAGGTAACAATATAATCATTTATATAGAGTTATTTTTAACTATTGTTATTATAAGTTATTTTAAGCTACTTATTCTAAAACATTTAACGATTATAAAAATATCTTTAGAAAATATTTTAGTTAAATAGAGATTACAATTTCGTTTTTGCATTTAACACTACAATTTATCACTTTTAACTATTCATAAAATATTCTTTGGGGTTTTTAAGTGGAACTGAAATTTATATTGAAGTTGACCCTGTAATGTTATATTTAAATTAACAATTTAAGTATTTTGTCCAAACTGTTCAAAAGTTGTAACTTTAAACTGATAATGGTTTACATACAACAACATATTAAATCTAATAAATTAAGTATAATATGTTAAAAGTTAAAGACATAACTTTATAAATAGACATAAAAATATTATATTAATATTGAAATTTAGTTTATTTATAATTACACTTTACGTTTGATACTTATTTAACCTTATTAACCAACTTATTATCATTATTAAAAACACACTACAATTTATCACTTTTAACTATTTACAAAATATTCTTTGGGTTGTTTAAGTTGAACTAAAATTTATATTTAAGTTGACCCTGTAATGTTATATTTAAATTAACAATTTAAGTATTTTCTCCAAACTGTTCAAAAACTATAGCTTTAAACGGATAATGGTTTACATACAACAACATATTAAATATAATAAATTAAGTTTAATATGTTAAAAGTTAAAGACATAACTTTATAAATAGAAGTAAAAATATTATTTTAAAATGTTGAAAAATATATGTTTAAAATGGTTATGTTATTGACATTAACTTTGACATAATATTTTGAACAATATTATTCATTGACATCAACCCACCTTCCACATTAATAATATTAAATATAATTATCTATTTAATATTATTTTTAACAATTGTTATGATTGATTAATTTAAATTTTTACTTATGCGATTATTTTCTAATTTCAATAATGATATTCATTTAAAATACTACTTATTTGTTGTTAACGTCATGTAATTTATAAATTGATGTTATTATCATTTAAAATTATTGTTCTTTAGTTTTAAACCACTTATTATTAATAATAAGTTAAAGAAGACTTTTAAGAAACACTTAATATTACTATTAAAATGTGAAACATACACTAAATAATAAATTGATAAGATAGACAATTTGTATTTCAAAAGAGACTTGCATGGATAATATGACAAATACATGATTTTTATAATTTGATTTTATTATTTATAATTATGGCTCATTAGTTTTAAAATCACTCATTATTATTAATAAACAAAAGAAAACTTTTAAAAGACACTTATTATTATAATTAATATGTTAAACATATACTCAAATATAAAGTGATAAGATAGACAATTTGGGTTTTAGAAGAGACTTACATGGATACTATGGATAATATTGCATATCCATGATTTTTAATTAATTATTAATTTGAAGCAACACAAACATATAAACATATATACAATATTTAATTAAATATTATCGATATCACTTTCCATAACATATGGTCGATAACATGAATATAATCAAATTTACATTAAAGTTTCAAACACGGCATACAATGATTGTCTTAAAAGAATACTTAAACCAAGGAAAATATAAAAAAAAGAATTAGTATATAACAAACTTACAAATTAAAAACTTTAACATAATAATGGTCCAAAGCCCTCAAACCAACACAAAACCTTTAAACTTGTTTTCTTTGTGAATTTTGTATGTGATTTGTATCTATGTGTCTACTCAAAGAGAATGACATTTTTATAGTAGACTATCCATTAATTGCTTATTAAACATATTATATAAGTTATAAAACTTTTCATGATGTGTGAATAATTAGTTTGAAGGTGAAAATGTGTGGGGTTTCAAATGCATGAGGTGCTTGGAAATTTGTGTGGGGGTTTCAAATGCATGAGGTGATAGGAAAAATGTCTCATTTATAAGTATAGTATGATAGTCGAATCCCCGTGCATATAATTATTTAATTAAAATAATAACATTTAACAAATTGTGATTTAATATTTATACATGTAAAAACCAATGTCAATAGCAAAACAAAATTTATATTAACATATTAGTTTTATTAATTTTGATAAATTTATATCATTAGTTATTTCCACTATTAATTCATGATTTTATAGACCGTTTTATGTTGTGTAAATTATATATCAAACATATGTTGATTTTTATGTATAAAAAAATAAAGTAGTATGAAAAAATATAAATACTACAACTTTTGATGATTTTATAAAACATTTTAAGTTTGGAAATTGTATATAAAACGTATGTCGATTTGTATATAAAGCAAATAACAAATACTATGAAAAACACTATAACTTTTAATAAAATAAAAATACTACAACATTATAACATTTACATCAAACAAAAAATTATTAAACACTTATATATCATTCAAAATGAATATTTAGAAATCAACATACATTTGATATATAGAAACATTGTTATAAAAAAATTGTGTTGAAATAACCAATGATGCGACAAACCTTTTTTTTTCAACTCTTTCATTTTGAATCACAAATCTTTTCAAACATATGATTTTTAATCAAAACTTACCTATATACTACTAATATAGCTACAATGTGTATAATAAATAAGTGGAAAATAAAAAAGCATTGCACATTAATAACCATTAGTTTAAAAAACTTTTGAATGTACTGGAAAATATAAAGGCAAATGACATTAAACTTGAAATCATAATTACATTTAAATAAATAAAAAGCTATTGACTTGTAGTGGGAGTTTTAAACACTTGATTTGTGCACAATAATGTAATATAAATATTAACAATTATATGTTATAAAAACAATATTATAAGTATTTATAATTAAAATAATAATTTTTAGAGTAACTAATATTATAATAATTTTAAATATACGATAAGAAAGATATAAAAACTTGTGATTGAATCAAATTGAATTAAGTTTTTTATTTAAAATTACTTTAAACTATAGGTAGTTTTAACTAATTTATAAATAATTTGTTTGAATATTTTTTATTCCTATATTATTATTATTATTATTATTATTATTATTATTATTATTTCAAATAACAATAATTTTTTAATATAATATAATATATTCTTTAGTTTTATGTTATTTTAAACAGTTATTACTTTTTACTAATTAAAAACTACTTATTTGAAATTTTTCATTATTATTTTTACAAAAAACTATCATACTTTTTTTTATTGTACTTTCATTTTTTCCCTAAAGCTACGAAATATTGGTAGAGAATGAACGATCCAAATAAAATGGTGATTTGAATTTCAAAATTATAATAATTGTTATGTACTGCGACCAATCTTAGAAAAAATGTTAGGTTAGAAGAGGAGGAGTGTTACACTTGAAGTATATTTTTATCACTTATATTTTCTTATGAAAATATTAATATTTTCATTTATTTTACTTTTCCTTTACGATAAAGAATGGATAGGGAAAAAAAGAAATTGACAAATGTAATAAGATAATTTATTTTTATTACTATAAAATCATTTAAAATTGGGTAGATCCATATAAGTTTTGGTAGAACATAAATAATTCATTTCTCTAACACACATAGTTATTGGTTTTCAACAATAAAGTCATATCTTATTAAAAGTCATTCATTCTAATTCGCCATTATCACCAACAATTTGGAATAATAATTATAAACTCCTTTCATCAAAATCAATTATAAAAAAACTCTATCGATGTTATTTACAACAAAATAAGCGATAGAAACTAAAATAGTATATACATAACATAAAATACATGTTGAATAATGTTCTCTTCTACATAAAATATATTTTCTTAACATAAAAAAGAGAGAGACAACATATAGATACATACATGTTAACAAAGTTAGTTTCTCTAACTGATAAATAGTTTTATGGTTGATTTACCAAAAGCTAAGTGTTAGGTCGAGTGCGTGTTTGACTTAGGACGGGTATAGATGGATTTGTGGTAGGACCAAGGTTAACATATAGTGATACAGTGTTGTATGTCTGCGGGTGTAGCCGTAGCATTCACAAGGCTGGCAGATAGTGCTAGAGTGTTGTAAGTCTGCGGGTGTAGCCGTAGCATTCACAAGGTTGGCAGATAGTGCTAGAGTGTTGTAAGACTACGGGTGTAGCCGTAGCATTCACTAGGTTGGTAGATAGCATGGGAGTGTTGTTAGATCGCGAAAGGAACAGTAGTACCCACTAGTTCGGGTGCAGCAGTAAGGACATGGAAAATCCACATATTGGGTTACGGAATTACCCAGATAGGTTAGATCTGGTTGAGCCAGTGATAAGATCGTGGGAACACCACGACAGTCATGGGATCAAGGAAACGATGGACCGCATAAGGTCGTTTGTGATATAATGCTATTTTTAGTCATGATGCATTCACTTTTAGCTTTAGGTTTGGTGACGTCAGGATTCGACGTAT